ACCATAAAACGTATTTCACAGGCACTTTGGGCCTATCTCATTCGCCTAATTAAAATTGTGCCTGCTGTGTGACATTGTGTGTCTCCCCATGATTAACTGCCCCCTGCTTCAAGGATGCAGGTGCATATGTTGTTTCTGGAATGTACAACCCTGACTTGCTTACAGTTTGTGCTTTTATAAACTATGCCTTATCCCTGGTTCCAGGTCAGTTACAGCTCCCGAGGCTGTGCTGGTCAGCTCGCTGCATTCTAATAAAGCTTCTGCTCCCAACTTTGTTCTCTGTGGTGGATTCTTTGTCTTACTCCATTACACATCTCTGGCTCTTTTCCTTATTAAATGGAGATAAGAGTGTCTCAGATTTATCTCTCCAGGCTGGCCTGGAATTGTGATACTGACCTCAAAATTACTGGCATGAGTCCACACCCAGTTTATAAATGAACTTTGCAGGGCTGGGAAGGTGGCTCAGTGGTAGAGCACTTGCCTTGCATGCATGAGGCCCTGGGTTTGATTCCTCAGCACCACATAAGCAGAAGAAAAAAAAAGCCAGAAGTGACACTGTGGCTCAAGTGGTAGAGCACTAGCCTTGAGCTGAAGAGCTGAGATACAGTGCACAGGCCCAGAGTTCAGGCCTCACAACCGGACCTCCCTCCCCCCACCCAAAAAAAAAGAACTTTGAATATCTGAGAAGTTAACATGTAACAATTGCACTATAAGACTTCAAGTATTGCCAGGCACTGGTGGCAAACGCCTGTAATCCTTGCTACTCAGGAGGCTGAGATCTGAGGATTATGGTTCAAAGCCAGCCAGGACAGGACAGTCCTTGAGACTCTTCTCTCCAATTAACCACCAGAAAACCAGAAGTAGAGCTGTGGTTCAAAGAGCACTAGCCTTGAGCCATAGAGCTGAGAGACAGTACCCAGACCCTAAGTTAAAGCCCCACCACCACTAACCAAAAAAAGGTTTGACACTTGATATTAGATTTTGTATTTTTCCATTAAATGCCTTTTGATGAATGACAATTTTATATTATAGGGAATATGTAACATTCTGAACTATGCCTGCCTTATTAAAAAGGTGTTGAGTTTACCTAACATACGCATTCTCTCAGGAGTTTGTCATTCTAAGAGAGCCTGATAGTTGTTTACAAAGCAGCTAACAATGTCTCAGAGGTATTCTGGGCTGAAAACTACTATTCAAATGGACTACTACCTCTTCTTTTGAATGCTCCTTAACTTGAAGTGGGAGAGTCATACATGGGGCCTGACTGGGTCACAGGGACTTGCCCGAGGCCCTGACACGAGCCTATCCAGCAGAGTGTGAGAAGAAATCCCCATTATAGCAACTGAAATTTAGACACACCGATTCTCCACAGCATTAAATATGTCAGGGAGAATTACTCTGGTCTTTGGTACAAGAATAGTTCTGGTAAGAATAGATTATAAAACTCTATTACTGGCTTGGAAGGTGGCTCAATGGTAGAGTGCTTGCCTCACATGCATGAGGCCCTGGGTTCAATTCCTCAGCACCACATAAACAGAAAAAGCCAAAGTGGCGCTGTGGCTTAAGTGGTAGAGTGCTAGCCTCGAGTGAAGAGCTGAGGGATAGCACCTACTCCCAGAGTTCGGGCCCCAAGATCGACCAAAAACAATAACAAAAATGCTGTATTACCTGGAGGTGTACCTCTTAATATTCTAAGAAAAAAAACATGATTTTAGCCAGGCTCTCAACTGTAATCCTAGCTACTCAGGAGGCAGAGATCTGGAGATTGAGTTCCAGAGGCGGCCTATGCAGTAAAGGCGTGAGCTTCTTATCTCCAATTGACCACCAAAAGGCCAGCTGTGGCTGCTATGGTAGAGCACTAACTAGCCTTGAGCAATAAAGATCAGGGACAGGGCCTGGTACCTGAGTTCTTATTTCAGAATCTGTTTTAAAACAACTAATTATCAAAAGCAGACCAAACAGATTTTCAGAATTTCAGCAGCCAAGTACCATGACCCTCTGGTTTCCTTATCACATGAATCATACCACAGAAGTCATGTTCTTCTGCTGTTCTGGTGTCCATCTTAGAATTTAAACTCAGTGCCTGGGTGCTATTCCTGAGCTTTTCTTTTTAAATATTTTTTGGTCATGGGGCTTGAACTCTGGGCCTGGGCGCTGTCCCTGAGCTCTTCAGCTGAAGGCAAGCACTCTGCCACTTCAGCCACAGCACCACTTCTAGTTTTCTAGTGGTTTATTAGAGATTAAGTCTCATGGACTTTCCTACCCTGGCTGGCTTTAAACTGCAATCCTCAGATCTCAGCCTCCTAAGTAGTTAGGATTACAGGCGTGAGCCACCAGAACCCGGTGGTTTTAGAAAAAAATATTATGAAGGGGATGTTCAGAGGATTTACAGTTAAATAAGCAAGTCAGGTAATGAGTAGATTGTTACCTTTCCCTCACTCTCTCCCAGGTTTTGCCTCCTATCCTCACCCACAAGTTGTAGAGTTCATTTCCCAGTGTCCAGTGAGGAACACTGCTGCATTTGTTCACCTTTTGTTCCTCCATGTCCTCTTACTGTCCCTATTGAGGCCTTGCTTGACCCAAGTAACACCATCTTGATCAGGAGCTCACTTCACTCTTCCCCTCCTCCCTGAAGTTGCTGCATAAGAGAAAAATATTCTGCTAAACTGCAGTCTGATTGGGGCAAGAGCCATGTCCTGTTTGGCTCAGAAATACCCAGATGTCTGTGTAAAGATCATGTTTTTTGTGCTGTAAATCTTAAAACAAAAAACCTGCTGCGTTTATTCTTGGAAACTTGCTTGCCTTGTAAAACAACACTTGATTGTGTTTTTTTTTTTTCTTTAAAACTCCTACCTTCTGGTAGGACAGGGTCAGAGTTGCAGTTCCGAGTCTGTACTGTGTCCCTGGCTGGTCAGTAGAGCTCCTCTGTAAAGCTTAATTCTGATCTTTGAACTTTAAGTGGTGGACTCTTTCTCTTGACCCCACATTTAGCTGGGGGCTCGTCCGGGATAGAGCCCTTAACCATTTGGAGCAGCAGACTGTGGGTTCCAGTCCCACCAAATGGGCCCCATAAAGAAGAATCTCCTGGGAAAGCCTCCAGAGGTGAGTTTGTGTGTTTGAGGTGCACTTCCTGGTTGAGAGGCCTAGAGCAGAGAGAAACTGAACCCAGTATTACTCTCTGAGACCAAGGTGGTCAAGGGATGCCTTGACCTTCTATTGATTGCCCTCTTTGGGAGGGCTAGATTATTTTCAGGGGTATCCTAATACTTTTGAATATAATCAGAGAACAAACTTTAGTAATTTCTATGCCAGTGTTTGTTTTTGCTTTTGCTTGCTGGTTTGCTGACAGGTTTAATTCTTAACATGGGACAGGCATGTTAAGACTCCTCTCTGGATTTAGTTCTGCAACATTTTAGACTTTAGGAAAAGGGCAGAGAAGTCAGGAGATCATGTTTTCCCTGGTAAATTAACTTTTTTTGGGTCTGGTCGTGGGGCCTGAACTCTGGGCCTGGGCACTGTCCATCAGCTCTTCAGCTCAAGGCAAGCGCTCTACCACTTGAGCCACAGCGCCACTTCCAGCTTTTTTCTTTTTGCTTATGTGGTGCTGAGGAATCAAACCCAGGGCCTCAGGCATGCAAGGCAAGTGCTCTACCACTGAGCCACCTTCCCAGCCCCTTAACAACTTTTTTGTCACCTACAATGGGCAACAGTTAGAACCAGATGGCCTTCTACAGGCACTTTTAACTTGTGTAAGATTTATGCCACCCAGACTGTTATTTTTGGCCACAAGGGGCATCCTGAACCAGTCCTATATAGTGGCCTGGCGGTACTTGGTGGAAGAATCCCCCAGATGGCTCAAAGCTCACCTTCCCCCAGAGAATTGTTCCACAGTGGTTTGGTGTTGAAATCAAAAGTGCCCCTCCCAACAGAAGTTCTACAAACCCAAGGACAGTGGCGACTTGCCACCCCCCTACCTGCACTTTGAATAATCTCACTGTGACCTATTCTCAGCTTGGCATTCTCTGGCAGGTAGAATAGAGAAGTCCACAGGAGCCAATGGATCCCAGTTGTCCAGTGTAGAGGCAAGCTCTTGGCCTGGATGGTTTCAGCAAGAAGTCTTTCTCGTCTGATTGAGGTGCATATTTGAGCTTCTGCTGTGTGCCTGACAAGAATTTCTGTGTTCTGCTCTTGGTGACAGCTATTCTCAAACTGTTTAGAAAAATCAGGATCTTGCTATATAGCTCAGGCTGCTCTGGAACTCTCCATCCTCTTCTGGGGTGACAGCAGGAAACAGCCCACTCAGCAGAACTCCCTGCCTGCAGTTGTCATCCTTGCTTTTATATTCTGTTGAGGAGTCCTCAGAGGCTGCACAAGGATGGATCCTGCCCTGATGCGTTCACCCCAAGGTTTCTGTTGGGTCTGAAGCCTGCAATGGCTGAGTTTGGAACTTCAGCTGAACATCTGACTCCATGTGCCACCTAAGACACATGTTCTGCACAAATGTCTTCCCACATTTTAGCAGTTGCAGGGCTGGTGTGTGGACCCCAGTGGCTGCTGTGGTTGGGAGTGGGAATGTCAGGTTTGCCTCTCTCACCGCACACCTATGGCCTCTGCGACCTGCAGTGCACGAGGTGAGTGACACGGCGGATCTCCTTGCTGCACTCCATGCACTAATGAGGCTTGTGGCCGTTGTGCACAGCCTGGTGTTTGGTGAGGGTCTGTCGTGTGCTGAATGCCTTGCTGCACATGTCACAGGCGTATGGCTTCTCCCCAGTGTGCGTCCTGCGATGGGCTGCAAGACCGGAGGCATTCTTGTATGCCTTCACACACTTGTCACACCTGTACGCTTTGAGTCCAGTGTGCACAGTCTGGTGTGCATTGAGGCAGGTACGTTTGCTGAAGGCCTTGCCGCACACACTGCAGGCATATGGCTTCTCCCCGGTGTGCGTCCTGCTGTGGTCTGTGAGGTTGCTTTTCACAGTGAACGTCTTCCCGCACTCGGCACAGCGGTATGGCCTCTCCCCAGTGTGCGTCCTGTTGTGGCGCACAAGGCCACTTTTCTGCAGGAACCTCTTCCCACACTGAGCACAGCGGTGAGGCCTCTCCCCGGTGTGCAGCCTGCTATGTGTAGCAAGGCCAGAGGCATGGTTGAATGCCTTCCCACACTCAGCACAGCTGTACGGCTTGCAGCCAGTGTGCAAGGCCTGGTGTGCTGAGAGGCTGGAGCGCAGGTTGAAGGCCTTGCTGCACACGTCACACACGAACGGCCTCTCCCCAGTGTGTGTCCTGCAGTGCACAGCCAGGCCAGAGGCTTGGCTGAATACCTTCCCACACTCGGCACAGTGGTATGGTCTCTCCCCAGTGTGCTTTCTGCTGTGGCGCACAAGCTCAGTTTTATGCGTGAACCCCTTCCCACACTGAGCACAGCGGTGAGGCCTCTCCCCAGTGTGCAACCTGCGGTGCGTGGCAAGGCCAGAAGCGTGGCTGAACCCCTTCCCACACTCAGCACAGCTGTACGGCTTGCAGCCAGTGTGCAACGCCTGGTGTGCCAAGAGACTGCGGCGCAGGTTGAAGGCCTTGCTACACACACCACACACAAACGGACTCTCCCCAGTATGCATCCTGCGGTGCACGGTGAGGCTGTAGGCCCGGCTGAATGCCTTCCCGCAGTCAGCACAGCAGTACGGCCTCTCCCCAGTGTGTGTCCTACGGTGCACAGTGAGGCCAGAGGCCTGGCTGAATGCCTTCCCACACTCAGCACAGTGGTGGGGCTTCGTCCCACTGTGCATGGTCTGGTGATTGGTGAGCATACAGAGCGCAACAAAGGTCTTGCCACACTCGCCACACCGGTATGGCTTCTCCCCACTGTGTATCCGGCAGTGAACAGCAAGGCTGGACATGAGGCTGAACTCCTTCCCACACTCTGCACAGACGTAGGGCTTCTCGCCACTATGGCATCGCTCATGATCCAAGAGATGGTAACGTCTGGAGAAAGCCTTCCCACACTGTGTGCAGAGGTATGGCTTTGAGCTGTTATGGCTCCGTTGCTTGTGATCCAGGAGATGGGAACACATGCAGAAAGCCTTCCCGCACTTAGCACAGCAGTGCAACTTCTCCACAGTGTGGATCCGCCTGTGATGCTTCAGGGAACAAGGCTGACTTCCGGATATTTCTCCATGACCGCTGTCTGCTTTTAAGGGTAATTCTTTACTTACACAGCCAGGAGAGGTACCTGCAAGATATAAAATGCCCATCTAATTAATCAGAGTTAAGTATTTCACCCTGAAAGAGAATACCACAGACAAAGCTCGCTCTCTCTGTCTTTCTCTCTCTCTGTCTCTCTCTCTCTCTGTCTGTCTCTCTCTCTCTCTCTCTCTCTCTCTCACACACACACACACACACACACCTGAGCCATATGAATGCTGAGAACCATAAAATACAATATTTATGAACACAAAAGGAATAGGACTCTTTCACTGGAAAGTAGATTATTAAGAGAAGGTAAGCCTTGTTTCAACCTATGAGTAAAACATACATCCTGGAGACAGAACTCATCAAGAAGACAGAACTCCCACCCCCACCCAACACACCTAACTGCCAAAAGACATATGGTTACATTATAAGCAAACAGAAAAAAAAGCCTATTTGCAACATATTGACTATGCACAAATAAATGCCATACATCACACAATATGTTGTAATGATTCAGAGCCAAAAGCTGTTTACAGAATGAATTAACAGGTAAATTTGAATTGCAAAGCAGAGGTGAGAAAAAGGTAAGAACACAATACAACAATGCCAGGAAAAAAACCCAAGACAAAAACACCTGCAATATATACAATAAGCTGCCTACACCCACACACAGCAAACAGAATTTAACCTTAACAGGAGATATGTGGCACAATGCATGCTGACTACATTTAGATGCTAGTCAAATTCCTCAAAGAAAAACAAAAGAGCAAGCCATGATAGTAATGAAAAAGTAATTCCCTTTAAAATTAAAAAAAAAAAAAAAAGCCAGCCCAGGAAAGAAAGTCTGTGAGACTCTTATCTCCATCAAACTACTCAGAAGAGATACCCGGGTACTGCACACCCACCATTAGCTGGAGAGTCAGCATGGGACTGCTTCAAAGCACACAGGAAATGTAGTGGAGACACAGAATGGCATATTACTCTGCAGGACAGGGCACAAATGGGGACATTCTAAAGTCCTTTAGGGCTCACAGCAGAGACACTTTGGTTTTCCTACAGAAAACTTCCACTTGTGCCCTGGTTCCCCAGCTCCCTCTCTGCACATCTGAGCTCTTACCTGCACTCACACCTTTGGCCCCTTCCCAACCATTCAGCTCTCCTGGAGTTGTCACATGGCTCTTTGCCACCCAGGGATCTTCCTGAAACTCCAATGGCAAAATCACACTCATGCTGGGAGGGGAGATTCCTGTTTATAGAAAGACAAACGCGCTGTGGCCTTTCCAGAATCCCCAGTCCCACGCTTGGGGGAAAAGGGAACATCACACATGGATGCAAAATACAGTTCACATATTCAGCAGACTGCTTCCATCTGAACACTTCAGAGTACACTTTAATGTGCAGACAGCACACAACAACTACTGAGTCAGAAGGAGGAGGAAATGGATACAAAGTCTGCCATGCGCTGAGTGTGGTGTCATCTGTGTGTCATCCCAGCACTTAGAAGTTCAGGGGCAAGTTCAAGGCCAGCCAGGGCTACAAAGTGGGAACTTTTCTCGAAAAAAAAAATGAGAAAGAGAAGGAAGATAACAGTTGGTGTGTGGGTCTACCATAGTGGTTGAAATGAAGCTCAGTGATGAGAGGACCTGTCTAGCGTGTACAAAGGAAAAAGAGAAGAGTGGAAAAAGGAAGGGAAGAAGGGGAAGGGAGGGCTGGGAAGGTGGCTCAGTGGAAGAGTGCTTGTCTTGCATACATGAGGCCCTAGGTTCGATTCCTCAGCACCACATAAGCAGAAAAAGCTGGAAATGGCGCTGTGGCTTAAGTGGTAGAGCGCTAGCCTTGAGCTGAAGAGCTGAGGGACAGCGCCCAGACCCAGAGTTCAGGCCCCACAGCCAAAAAAAAAAAGAAGGGGAAGGGAAAAAAGGAACAAAGAAGAGCAGAGAGAAGCCTGCCATAGCTGACATGCACATCAGCTTCCTTAAGCTGTGGGACACGGAAATGCACCACAGGAGCAGAACAAAGGATGGGTGTGAAAGTCCTTAGGCTACTTTAGTGCGTTTCTGTCTTGGAGTCCACAGAGCTTTACATCTAGTCATGGAACTGGGGTCTCTCTAGTCATTCAGGGGAAAAGAAAGAAAACACTCCCAACTTTTCCTCACCCACAGAGACCAGGTTCCCATAGGTGTCCAGCATGACGTCCCTGTACAGAGTGCGCTGAGCCTGGGTCAGGCACCGCCACTCCTCCTGGGTGAAATCCACCGCCACATCCTCAAATGTCAACTGTCCACAAGGAGAAAATCCAAAAGCATTTCACACACACATGCATGGACTCAGAAAAAGTATTACATGGAATTATAATCAATGCCTACCATGACAAAGCAATCAACACACCAGGGACAGAAGGAAGCTTCAGGATGTTAGGTTGTAATGGTGTCTTTGATATGACACCAAAAGGAAAACAACTATGTGGAATTGTACATCCCTGCATTCTTCTGAGAAAAGTGACGACATATGAGGAGCTGTGTTAAAAGGACCCAGATAAACATGAGGGGCTCTTGCCTGGAATCATAGTCTCTCAGGAGGCTGAGATCTGAGGATCAAGGTTCAAAGCCAACTGAAAGTTATACCTGAAGTATTAGAGCACCAGGCTTGAGCAAAACAGCTCAAGACAGCACCATGGTCCTGAATTCAAGCCCAGGGTTGGTGAGGAGAGATAGGGGGGAGGAGAGAGGAGAGAGAGATAGAGACTCCAAAGTTTACAACAAAACCAGCAATGAGGTTTCAGCAAGGACACAGGAATACTTGGTGGGTGATGCCCTCCTGTGCCCATGCCCAGTGGAGGGGACACGGCTGAGGGAAGGCGTGGGGGACATGAGCACACGTGGCAGGCAGGAACCAGCAGAGTCAGCACCCAGACCAGCTCTGTACACAGGAAGGAGATGCCACATGGCTTTACCTGAGTCATAGCCACCATCCCTGCTCCTTGTCCTTCCTCTTCCTTGTCCTTGGGCTTCCTTCGCAGGTAATATCACTTTCAGAAGTCAGTCCTGAGTGCTGAAAATATCCCATTTAATGCTCACACCCAACACATACTCCCTGTGCCCCGGCTGGGCAGGGAGGACCTCACTGTGGGATGAAAGTCCTGTGCTGCCCACTAATGGGGTGGTGGGGAATGCCAGTCCTGGGGCTGGAACTCAGGACCGGGGCTCTGTGCCTGAGCTTGTTTCCTCAAGGCTGGTGCTCTACCACTTGAGCCACAGATCCACTCTGGCTTTCTGTTGGTTAATTAGAAGTAAGAGTCTCAGGGAGGGTTGAAGAGCCAAAGTCACTGAATGAAAAAGCACACAGTTTGAGTCCCATCTGTGACCAAAAAACAAAACAAAACAAAACAAAAACCAATCTTTCCTGTTCAGGCTGACTTCACTAACCTCCATCCTCACATCTCAGCCTCCTGAGTGGCTAGGGTTACAACCATGGACCCTGCTCCCTCTACTCTCCTTGTAACCCATGACCCCTCTTTCCCTCAGACCAATGGCTTGCAGAATTTCAAATAGTTCTCCTCTCCTCCCACCTGGAAGTGCTCCCGCATTTCCTGCACCCCGCCACCTATGTGAGGTCTTGCATCCTTCTGGAGAAGGACATTCTGCATTTCTCTATTTGCTTTCCTCTCTGTTCATGCCATTGAACATGCAAAGCCTGCACCCCATTACTACTTTGCCCGCTGCTGTGGGGGCACTCTCTTCTCTTCCTGTTTTCCGAATTTCCTCTCAGTCTTCCTCCTGATGATCCTTTGCCCTCACCTCCCCACAGCCTTCCTACAGGTCAAGTGCAAGGAGGCAGGCCCCAGGTTTTCCTGTACCCCTCATCAGGAATAGGATGGGGAGGGGTAGCAGTGTAGCACAGGGCAGGGTAGAGGGTGAGGTCTGGTGGGGTGGGGTGAGGTGGGTAGGGACGAGGTAAGGTGTGGTGAGGTAGGGTGGGTAGGGGTGAGTAAGGGTGGGTAGGGGTGAGTAAGGGTGAGGTGGGTGAAGAGTTAAAGTAACTCCATTTTGAGGCAGGAGCCATTCTGTCATTTATGTTGAACTATGAGTGACCCAGAGAAAACAAATTCCAGAAAATGACCTGTCTGTGTTGAAGTTAGCCAGAGCTCACATAAATCCCAAGGACAGAGTTATCTATGGCCACAAACTTCCCTCACTTCACAGATAGCCCAAATGGTCTGATAACCCCCTACTGCCCTTTATTGCCCTGGCCCAAATGGTCTGATAACCCCCTATCACCCTAGAATGTCCTGTTAACACATCTGGTTGTGTAACTTTGTGGTTTTTGCCTTTATAAGCCCTGTGAAGGGCTGGGAAGGTGGCTCAGTGGTAGAGTACTTTCCTTGCATGCATGAGGTCCTGGGTTCGATTCCTCAGCACCACATAAGCAAAAACAAAAAAGCCGGAAGTGGCACTGTGGCTCAAGTGGTAGAGCGCTAGCCTTGAGCTGAAGAGCTGAGGGACAGTGCCCAGGCCCAGAGTTCAGGCCCCACGACTGGACCCCCCCCCCCAAAAAAAAACAAAAAAACAAAAAAACGCTCTGTGAAATTTCAGCTCGGGGCTGTCCTCCTAAGCTCCGCTGTGTTGGTGGGTAGGACGAGGCCCGAGCTGCAGCCCGCAGCTCAGCCTGAATTTAAAGCCTTGCTTTTGCATTTCGGAACGTCTGACTCTCGGTGGTCTTTTTGGTGGTGGTCCTGCGGCGTAGGCATTACAGTGGGTAGGCATGAGCTTAGGACGGTAGGGGTGAGGTAGGTAGGGTTGGGGTG